ATGCAATATGGATAACAGAATTAAAACAGCGTTCAAAAGTAACAGCCCCCCAAATAATCCAGTAAAGCTATTCCTAAACTCTCATCCAGATGAAACCAGCAACCTGTCAAACAAATTATTGTTACTATTTTTGCAAATGAGTGCACGATAGCAGGCTCTTAAACCTCTCATTGGACATTACAGTAAAAACAGACTGAATGCACAGCTACACTCATACCTGGCTCTGAACACGTGAAATTCAAGATGGAAATGGGGAGATGTAAAGAAGTGCTAATTGTATCAAGCACAGTACCAGGCATATGAGCTGCACAGATACCAAATGACGGTGGTGAAGCCATGATGCATATTATGCGAACATACTGGTCCATATCTCCTTTAACAAGGGGATCTTGCTGCTTTTTTCTGACACGGTTGAGTGCTTGTTCACAGGAACTCCTCCCCCAGCAAAATGAATGGCAAAATCTCCAGAATAAGGAGCTGAATAGAGTATGCACAGAGTATTCCACCTTAGGAATACACTTTGTTTTAGGACACATGCACCTATAGAGTCACAGAATGGCTTGGGTTGGATTAAAGCCCACCCAGTTTCCACTCCCTGCTGTGGGCTGGTTGCCCCCCATCAGATCAGGCTGCCCAAGGCCCCATCCAACCTGGTCTTGAGCACCTGCATGGACAGGGCATCCACAGCCTCACTGGGCAGCCTATGCCATTGCCTCACTACCCTCTGAGTAAAGAATTTCTTCCTAACATCTAACCTAAATCTCTCCTTCTGCTTTAAAGCTGCCACCCCCCCCCCCCCCCCTCCTTGTACTGTCACTATCAGACTGTGTAAAAAGTTGCTTTCCCTTCTGTTTATGAGTTCCCTTTAAGGTCTGTTAGGCTGCATTGAGGTCTCCCCAGAGTCTTCTCTAGGTTGAACAAGCTCAGCTCCCTCAACCTTTCCTCATGGACATTCTCTGGACTTGCTCCAACAGCTCCACATCCCTCCTGTACTGGGGCAGCAGGCCTGGATGTAGTCTTCCAGATGAGGTGTCACAAAGACAAAGTAAAGGGAGACAATCACCTCCCTCACCATGCTGCCACCCAGTGCTGCTTTCTTTTCCCAGTCTGTATACACAGCGAGTGCAACATGTCTCACCTGCCTTTTTTGAACCTCATTGGGTTCTCATGGACTCACTTTTCAAGTCTGTCCAGGTCCCTCTGAATAGCATCCCTTCCTTCTGTTGTACCAAGTACTTGAGGTTTTGAGGTCTCTCTCTTGGGAGCATTGCTCAGTTCTCTGGCAACATGAAGCCAGTGGGAAGGGATATCCTGCTTCCACCAACTGCCTAGTCTGTATGTGATAAAAAAGCATTGTGTGAGGGGCTGCTGACAAGTACCAGGGGTGACAGAGATTACCGTGTGCTGCTGATTTAATGGGTGACATTTGGCAGACTGAAAGGAGGTGACCAGTTCTCTGAGAAAGGAGGAGTACAAAATAACCAAAGGTGAAAAGGTATTTCAGAAGCTCCTTTGGGATCCAGTTGTGATCTCATAAAATTTTTGTGCTAGGAGGTCAGCAATCACACAGAGAAGGAATGTGGAATGGGAAGGGAAAAGCAGGATAAAAAGCAATTTCTAACACCACTCAGTAAATTAGTGTCTTAACCATGAACTTAATACCAAGTAATAGTCCCTGTCCAATACTTTGTCACCTATTTTATCATGGCCTGCACAATTTGATACTTTAAAGTCTTGCGTTCAAAGTACTGCAAAAAAAGTCAACAACAGCTGTTGCTTTTGTTGCAAAAATGCCAGCAGTTCAGTAAACCAGAAATGATGGCTGTGTGGCATCTGGGGAAAAAAAAAAGCCTTTCAAAAGGATGGCTTAACAAAGTGCATGCCTATCTGCAAACCAGCTCATGTCAGGCAAGTGCCAAGTGAGGAGAGAAGGTAGAGCCACGGTTTAAGAGTTGTGTCCATCTACATGGCCCCTCGAAAATGTCGGCCCCTTATATGGCAGGAAACTGTGTGCAAGTTGAAGCTGTCAGAGATTATTTAATTCTTGCTGAGTGCTCTTTGATTCCTCTCAGAGTGAAGCTGAGGTCAGGGACTGTTGGCTACTTGCCTTGCCACAGCTCTCAGAAGCTGCTGCGCCAACAGCTCATACCCCTGTAAAGCAGGTCAATAAATCTCACCATAGGGTTGGCACCTGTGCACCGGGGCTCCCCATCTCCTACAGTGGGGACTGAAACAAGGGGACTGAAACATATACTACACTGAAAGTATGTCTTTTGTCCAGTAATCAGTGTTTTTTGCTTTGTTTTGTTTTGTTTTTGTGCAGTTTTACATAGAAGAGGCTGAATTACCTTACAGTGATCCAGGAGAACCAAACCCATTAATAACATCTGCTGCAGCAGTTGGCACATTAATGGCAAAATCTCCACTGCTTTTATGCACCTCTCATTTAGAGCTAAAGTTATCAGTGATAACTCTGTCCCTGCTTATTTTCGGTAGAGTAGCTTTCACTCTCTTTATATGCAAGTGTTACATTTATCTTCAGTCTATCCCCACTCACTGTGTAGAGAAATGGTGCTACAGTCTAATCTTAGACCCATCATTTAGTACTGGGAGGAAGGAGCCCGTCAGCTTCAGGGAAACCCTACTGCATCGTAGTTATTATCAGCTACTGGCTCTGTAAAGATTATTTTTATCAAAATATTAAAATTGTGTATCATTAGCTTTGGTAAATAATAATAATAATTAAAAGAAACAGGAGGGGTGCTCTGAAAGCAATGCCTCCTATTTTATAATGTTGGCTCACAATGTCAGAGGTGGATGCTGGAGGTACAGCAGCAGAGGTCGAACCTTCCCACTAATATTCCATTGCATGCTGTTGCTGTGTGACAGATGGCAGCAGAGGGGCAGTCTGACAGAATGGCATCTGACAAAGAAATGTGTGTGGAGCAAAGGATGGCACTGAATTCCTCCATTGCTTTTGAGTTGAAATAAATTAAGAAATATACTAATGTGTACTCTTACTGCTGATTCATAGATTTTAAGGTTAAGAGGAGGTATTAATCAGTTTGTCTAATCACTCGTTTTAGCAATTTATACAGTTTCCTTACAGTCATTTGTCCAAATGAGTGTATCGTATGCTTGGTACTGAGGACCTATGTGTGGCATGGCCTTTACCCGTCTGTTTTTATTAAGGCCCTTAATAAAATTAAGGCCTATGATTTGTCACTCTCCCTCTTCTGATTATTTTGTATCACAGTTTCTTCAAATTTGTACTGCATTCTATATTGTCTCCACCAAGGTGGTGGTTCCTTTCAGACCTTTCATTTAGACTCAGCTACAAGTGTACTTCTTTGATCACGATGTAATATGATTTAAGTCTAATGATTTTTTTCTTTTGGTGTCCCAGAGAGGCTGTGGGTGCCCCATCCCTGGAGGTGCCCAAGACCAGGTTGGATGGTGCCCTGGGCAGCCTGAGCTAGTGAGTGGCTGGCAGCCAGCCCACAGCATGGGTTTGAAGTGGGTGGGCTTTAAAGGTTCCTTCCAACTCAAGCCATTCTGTGACTCTATAGGTGCATATGTCCTAAAGCAAAGTGTATTCCTAATGTCATGCATACTCTATTCAGCTCCTTATTCTGGAGATTTTGCCATTCATTTTGCTGGGGAAGGAGTTCCTGTGAACAAGCACTCAACTGTGTCAGAAACAAGCAGCAAGATCCCCTTATTAAAGGAGATATGGACCAGTATGTTCGCATAATATACATCATGGCTTCACCACCATCATTTGGTATCTGTGCAGCCCATATGCCTGGTTTATGAAATAAATTAGACTGCTGTTTCCTGTTACAAGTATTTTGTTACTGCAAATGCCCAGTCCTTGTTATCATTACACTCAAACCTGCTCAAGAGTTCAGTCCTCACTAATTCGCTGTTTCATCTTCATATTTCCTTTCTGTTTGTCTATAAGAAGCACAGAAATTTCACGTATGCGGTCGTGATCCTCCAGAACTTAAGCACACTTACAATTCGATTATTGCACCAGTAACACCTACACTCGTATGTGAGAAAATGAGCATATGTGACAATATTGCCAGGAGAGGAGACTCAGTTTGAAGATGGCCTTCCCTGGGGAGGATCCTGTCATTCTCATTTTTAATTCCTGCAAAAACTTACCAATTAGTTTTTCAGTTGTTTCACAGAGCTCCTTGACATGAGGAGCTAGATGTGGCAAGCACTAAATTTTCTGCAACAGCGGAATCAAAGATAAGAGACCTGTTCTGTCTCCACTGTCACCTCCTGGGGTGGGCGGGGGGGTGGGTACAGCTGTGTTGTCCCTTTTATCTTATTGAAGGGGTTTTTTACTTAATTAAAATTCCTGAATGTCATGATTTTTATAACAGCGATTGTAATTTCCCTGAGGTTTTGCCATGTACAAATATACTCAGAACTTACTCTACGTCTGTCTGCAGAAATCTGTGGTGCCCTTCTAACACTGTAATCCTTGGCATTTGCAGGCAACCCCTACATTTTGCTGATTAACTCCTAGTGTTTTGTTATTTCAAGTGCTTCAGGCCTCCAAGAGCAACAGTCAATATTTTTAGAATAAATGATTTCTGATATCATTTTACAGCTAAATGTTAAGGGCACATGCACACAAACACTATATATGCACAGACATGCACGTATCTATACATATGCACATCTGTAGGCACTTTAAAACATTTGTCTCAGTAGATAACAATGGAATTCAGTGCATTCATTTCTGATTTCTCCGGGGCTTTGGAATTTTGGGATCTGACTTAACGTGTTAGGGAAAAAGTACAGTGTGTTGTTTCCAACGCTGGTTTAAATTAAAAGGGAGAAAAAAAGCCAGACATACGGCACATCACAATAGCTGGTTAAATATAGACTCGGATTATGGAGCCATTGTTTTCACTCCTGCTAAATATGACAGTACTCTTAAAATGGAACACCACTTGACCTTTCATGTCTCATCAGTCCGTGATTGTATTTAACTGATGCAGGGAAGGAAGGTTTCCCCCTGGAACTGTCTCCCATTGACATGACGGTAGCTGTTGCTGGGTCATACAATGCTCAGGAGAAGGAAGACTAGTGCCTCGGAACCCAAGAAGGATCTTTCAGCTCATGGAGGAGCTCTGTCCATGTCACAAAACACGCGCTCTTTTTTCACCTTCTCTCAGCTGGTGCTTTCTGCTGGCCACCTCAAACCACCACCAGTGCTCAAACACTCAAAAATCACTTACTTTGAAGTGGAGATCCTTGATGTGCAAAGCAAGAAGCAGATCTGCATTGTGGACAAGGTGAGTGTATTATTTCCAGTAATCTTCCAGGGATCTGCGTAGTACACATGGTGGCACTGCCAGGTTTCTGTTTAGACTCTGCTGTGATCTTCTGTAATACAATAACTTTCATTCGTCTCTCGGAGAGATACTCACAGCTTCTGCTCATTCACAATCCTCATCTGCTTTATTCCAAGATCTTTACAAATGAACCAACACAGATTTCTTTTAGACCTCCTGACTGCACTTTGGACTCAAAATAGGTCCTTTTCTTGTCTTTAGATATTTAGGTTACGGTGATGATTTCAGAGCATGATACCTCTGCTTCAGAATAGATATTCAGCTTTAATACATTTTCAAAGCTAAGCATCTCTGCAGTGCCCTGGATTCTTGTTGGTATCTAAACATACTCAGCTGTACCCTATACAGTGAACTGGACAGGAGCCTGGCGTTTTTCAATTTTTTTGTTTGCAAACAAAAGTACTTATCTAAGAGAGGCAGAGATGTGTTTTATTAATGATGTGAGTCAAAAGATATAAACAGTCACGTTGTGTAAGTAGAATGAGAGAACTGGGTTGGAAGTAACCTTACATTGCAGTAAGCAGCGACTGAGAACATCTCATATTTACACCACAGTTTTCATGATTCATTGTGCTTAACATATGAGCTGGCCTCTCGTGCTGTGAAATTGGGAATTCTAAGCTATTCAGATTGTAGGAACCTCAGTAATACAGTAGAGTTTTGAGACTCTCTGTTTTGCTAAAAGAAAAAAATAAATCCCATATCCTCACTGGCAACAGCTGGAACTGGTGGATAAGTTTGCTTCTAATGTTCAATTGAAGGGCTTTGAAACATGCAGGCTGGAATACTACCACATTTCTAGTGTTCCTGATCATTTAAGGGGTGTTTTTGCAATGTGTGCCTCCTTAAATCTCTTCTTTGCTCATTCTTAAAAGGCCAAGTGTTCTTTGAGACTTTCTGAATCTTGCCAAAGGGGAAACATGTACAAAATGATCATACAGATGTGATGACTATTGATAGAATTTCTAGTGGTAGGTTTGTATTATTTAATTTACTGAGCAATATTAAGCAGTTATTAAAAAGAGCTATCTGCACACTGTACTGAATAAGGCTTCAATCCAACAAAAGACTGAGCATATGTCTTATCTTAAGCTTTCCTACAGGCTTATTAAAAGAAATATATTAACAGAAACAAGAGTGACATTTCTGGAATCCTTCCATGATGCACAGAAGAACTGCAGTCTTCTGGGACAATACACAGACTTATTTTTTAATTTTTATTTGGAATTTCTTCAGATCACAGACTTAGTTTCTATAGCAGTGGCAAAAGAGTTAAGAGTGGTGATTGTGAATTGCTCTCTTTGTAGAGGTAAAATGCTTGCTGAAGAGCAACAGCAACCATTAGCTGAAAGCATATGCTCAGAAAGTTACGTTCAATTTACATGGCTGTGGCCATTCTTCTGGGCATGGACCTTATGTATTTACTTAGGCACAGCACCAGGGAGTTGGTACAAATACACTGCAAGGCAGAGATTTCCAAGACTGCCTAAAGAATTTGCATTTCAAACACTGATTCACCTGTGTGTCTAAGTCCCTTAATTCACTATAATAAATCCTTCCTGAGGCAACCTTGAAAGCACAGAAGTTGAGTTCCTTATTTCAGTGAATACTTGTTAGTATTGGTGAATCTCATTTCAGCTGGTTATCAGAGCAATCAAGAGACCATTATACTGTATGATGCATAATCTGCTTAATTAAATATAACATTGATACAGACTTAACATGATGCTTACACCTAGATTCTGTTTGTAAGATAATTATTAGCTTCATGTCTTGAGGTTGCATGTAATTAATTATTCTCAGGATTTATAATATGAAAGAACAGGAACCATATTTTTAGAAATGTATGTATTTACATTCTTACTGCATTTTCTTAGTAGTTTCAAGTATTATGATTTAGCAAGTATATTTGTAGTATGCTCAGATTCATGATGCTTCTGTGTCTTAATGGCTTTAAGTTGCACCAGGGGAGATTCAGGTTGGATACTAGGAAACATTTCCTCTCAGAAAGAGTAGCAGTGCTTTGGAACAGGCTGCCCAGGGAGGTGGTGGTGTCACTGTCCCTGGAGATGTTCAAGAACTGTGGAGGTGTGACGGAGGGATATGGTTAGTGGGCATGAGAGGGATGAGTTAGGGGTTGGACTGAATGATCTTAGAAGACTTTCCCAACATTAATGATTCAATAAATCTGAAGGGAACCACTTATAACAGCAGAGAGAAAACCCCTTTCTTTCTCCACCTAATAAAACTCCTGCAGAGAGATTAGATGATTAAAGAACTGGTTAAATACCAGGCAATGCTTCTACAGAGTTAGCTTCTATGACACGCTTGCATATGTATGTGAGTCCTGTTCAGATTAGTAGAAATTCTGTAAATTCTGCATAGTGATATCTACATAGTTTTGGTATTTAGTAAGAAAAGATGTCTTGTGCTCAAAGCAGCATCAGGGATTTAGAAAAGGTGTGCTTAGCTCTGTGACCTCAAGCAATCAGCTGACATTGGTAGGCTCTGGAGCAGGCATAAGTAACTGAACTAATTCTCTAGCTGTAAAATTAAAAATAACACTCTCTTGGCTTTCTTACCCATCTTACACTTTGGGGGAGGATCAGTCACTCAATATTAGTGAGCTGAGTGGTTAGTCTAAGGTCTTGATCGTCTGTAAGATAGGCTTAAAGGCACAGAATAAATACATATTTGCCTGGTGTTTAAGTCTGCAAGATACATTCACTTCATACTGCAGGCTTTTCCAGAGTCAGGAAAGCCAGAAAAAATACTGAAAGAAAGCAGCAGAAAAGGAAAACCTCAGGTGTTGGATCACAGTGATGCCATCTAGGAGCTGGGGCTTTAAGAACAAGACTTCACTTTGCCAGACTTGAAGTAAATTCCCAAGTCAGCAGCACTGACAGTTCTTTCTGCACATGTGTACTTGTTATGAAAGTATCATTACTTTAATGATGTCAACCTGCTGTGGGGACTTTCTCTGCTATGGATGTGATATTATGCAATTAGTTTGGTGCAGGTGAGCTTTTCTGGCAACTAAATGATTTAAAAGATCAACAAAAACAACGCAAGATATTTTTCCCGAGGTTTGCTCTTGGTAGAAAAATGAATTCTGAGGTGGGCAAAGGTACGTGGACTTACATGATCTCAGCAGTGGCATAACAGGCAGTGAGGTTTTGAGAGAAACAACCTCGGCACGTGGGTCTGAGTGACTGAGCCCCAGCTCTTCCTTTCCTTCCTGCTGCTCGGCTGGAGGCTTTCTATTGCTGGAACTCCCAACTGCCTGTAAAGAACAGAGGGCATGTAATTAGCACTGATTAAGATTTTTGTTTTAAATATTTTCTTTGAAAAACAGTCTCAAATGTGTAAGGATTTTGGCTCGTCTGTTTACTTCCAAAAAAACAACAGAAGGTGCAAAATTCATGAAAGAAAATATTTTAAATAAATAATCTACGTTTTCCATCTCTAGCCACAGCTTAAAAAATCAAAAACTGCTTTACTTCTACATTATTGCAAAAGCCTGAAGTAGGTTAGTTTTAAGGTTATCGATATGCAGTAATTTGATTTATAAATGCTGTTAAGGCAACTCATAACTGTTTCTGTTACAGCACTCACTGTATATTATCTTATTCTTCAAATTAACTTGTAGTAAAATGTATTTTCCTACAAATGTAGTGCAATGTAATTAATTTTGCACGAGTTGCTTTGAAGGCATAAAGTGTTGCACAGTGTTGTTTTACAGAATAAATCACCTCTGGGGAAACCAGCAGAGAAAGCTTTTTTCCCCATCAGAAGTTGTGAAGCTCAGTATTTTGTGCTTCATGATTTTGCTAGCTAAGCTGTAAGCAGAGGCGCAAACTCAGGTTTTGTTTGCTGCACAGCAGCACCTCTTTCAAAAAAAAAGAAAACAAACAACTTAAGGCCTACAAAAGAGTACTTAAAAGGCTAACTTACTAGTAATTAAATGGTTGTGGTTAACAGTATGTACCGTAGGAGCACTTAACACAAAGATAAAATAGGACTCCTTTTGATTTATTTGGAAGGATAGCCTTGTTTGTGTCTGAAGGAGTTTGCAATCATTTTTCTCTCTAAAGCACCTAAAAGAGTAGTGCCTGAGTATCTGCACTGTGGTTTAACAATAAACAGAGTTGCTTCTGATTTACACTGACATGACAACAAAAGCAGATGCATGCAGGTGCAGTATCATAAATCTTCTTCTTGCCTGTGGGTTGTAGCTCTGTCGCAAAAAGTGGGCAGCCAAAAAGAGCCGTTGTCCCCAGCTCTCTTTTCCATGGTTTTATCTAGCAAATAAAAATAACTTCTCACATCACAACTTGGAGGCTATTCTGTAAATACCACTTTCATTTTAGGTGAGCAAAGGCAATTACTGAAATAGGCAATGGACTCAGCCAAGAAACCCCATGCAGTGCCTTTTATATCAGGTTTTCCTTTCTTGCTTCTTTAGTATGCAAGTCAGCATAATATTGAAGTCATTTTCCTGAAAAGAGATATTTAATTGCCTTGTATAGTCTTTTTTTTTTTTTTTTCTTAATCTTGCATTTTAATGTTTAACTTCACAGGACTCTGTTCTTCCCTGTGGAGAATGAGCAGAACCTGTGCATGTCTACAGCTGCTTCGTTTTATGTATAGGATTTTTGAGATCATCATCTTCCTCATTCAAGCAGTCTCTCTTTAAGGACAACTGTCTCTTTGGTGCCAAGGATACCCAAAGGAACTCAATAACCAGCTAGTCAAAGGAGGAGGTTTCCTTGAGAAGACCACTTGTTGACAGTGAGTCCCACAGCAATACAGGTGAAGGACTAGCAATACAGATGGAACCAGCTGAACTCACTGCTGTGCAAATTCTCTGTTTTACTTCCTTTTGAAAGGAGGATTTTGCAGTGTCATTGTCTTTTACTGCATGTTTTCCCCACATGCAGCTCAGCAGGGAGCTGATCCCTGCTGGAAGACACTGCAAGAAAATACATCACATTTACAACTGTTATAATGTCTATGCATTTTCTTGCCCATAAGAAGTGAATCTTATGCCTACTGCTAGTGCTGGAGGTGATATCAGAAGTATTTTCCTCCTCAGTTATTAGTTACACTTCTCAAAGTAGGTAAACATATTCAAATTCTATTGAAGCAATCCACTTCAATTCAATTCTTCCTGCTGTACTAGAAATTCACATTATTTTAATGTCAGTATAGCTAAAGCTAGCAAGCAACTGGACATTAATCTCTGCTCTCTGCAGCTACCGTTCTTAGTACAGGTTTTTGGATGAAAAACCTGGAGGAATGGCTTTGGTTTATCTAGAAGAGAGACTGAGGAAGGGAGAACCTGGTAACTTAAGGGCGTTTAGCATTTGTAAAGGGATAGTTCAGAGAAGGAAAGTCGCCACTACCAAAGACTGATGCTTCAGCTGGTACTAATTTTCAAAGCTTAAAATGCCTTTAAATGACTGTTTTTTATGCAGCTCTTATCATAGCTATAAAGGTCTAAGCTTCAGCAGGGGGGAAGACAGAGTGAAATACAAAAGAAAAAAGAAAAAAAGCTTAATTCCAAGCTCAGTGAAAACAAGAGATGTAATTCATGAGGCACCAGTGGTGCTCCAGGTCTTCATTTACCTGCCCACAGCAGGGGTTGGAGCTTGATGATCTTTAAGGTCCCTTCCAACCCAACCCATACTATGATTCTATGATTCCTGCCAGTCGTAAAGGCCAGCTATGCTACAAGAGCAGTGAATAGTGCCAAAAGTATATCTGTAGAGACAGATCCTCAACCGCTGTGAAAATGTTCTAATTCCCCACAAAGTGATGACATTTTACCCCAGCTGCACATTTGCCTTATTGCATCAAAGGTAATTCACAGATAATTGCAAATTACAAATGTACTGGAGCAATATAAGACCATAGGGAGCTGTAGGTGTTTTATTAGTCTAATAGTTAATCAGCACAACCCATGATGGAAACTTAGGTTATAACGGCATTTCATATAGGCATTATTGTAGCATTAAAATACTCCTGCTCAGGATTTATTGGCCCATTAGGGTATGCTTCAGGTTCTTTCTGAAATCTTAGTCCTGTGATTCTTCACAAAATACCTGAGCCATGTAGCAGTGGATCTTTGTCCTGGTTTCAGTTTGGACATTTTTTCTCCATAGTGTGTGGTACAATGCTAAGTTTTGGCTTTAGGAGAAAAAACAATGTTGATAACACACTGATGTTTCCCGTTGTTGTTGAGCAGTGCTGTACAGAGCCAAGGACATTTCCCTTTCTTAGCTTCTCCTATTGCCCTGCCAGCTAGAGGATTTGGGGGGCACCAGGAGCTGGGAGGGGACAGAACTAGGACAACTGATGTAAGCTGGCCACAGGGATATTCTGTAAGACATCATGTAAAAACTGTAAAACTGATTGGAATTGGCTGGAGGGGACTGCCTGGTGCTAGTTGTTGGGTGGTGAGCAATTATGTTATGTATCACTTGTTTTCTATATACATATATATCTGTATAAAATTATCATTACAGGAGGAGTGAGCAAATAACTGTGTGGTGTTAGCTCCTGCCGGGTTAAGCTGCAACAGAGCTATAAATACCTAGCTGTATATACTGCTGCTTTAATTATGATATACCTGTCTATGTTTAAACAATTCTGGATTTTAGAAGTTCTTAAAATGCAAGCTCTCCTTTGAAACAGGAGAACAAGCTGTGGCAGAAAATCTGTGCCAGAGGTACAGCAAAGATCTCCTCATAGCACTTGGCATTGTGAAAAGCATTTAGATTTCTGATTGCCGAGATGATATCTAATTGCTCTCATACATCACCTCCATTTCCCGTTCCTTTCTGTTTCCAGCTCCATCCTTAACCTCATGGGCCACAGGAGGCTGGCTGCCTCTCCATCTTTCTGTCTGATCTCACCAACATAATTTTGGACCTATTGGCCAAACATAAATACACCTGTAAGAGAAGAAAAGAGTTCAAAAGGTCAGTTAGCTTCTGCTTGTCTAATGAAAGCTGCTGGCATAGTAGCTTAGTGCTTCAGAGCAGGCAGAACAGGCAGAATCCAACCCTCACCAACCACCTTGCCTACTGGCAACATTATAGGAGACAAGGAAGGGGCAGAGAGCCATTGGAATAGATTTGAGGGTCCTTTATAATCAGTTAGTAGAAAGTAAGGCTTCATTAGCCCTGCTACACATAGAACCACTTATCTTGTTGATATGTTTTCCTGTGAATTTTCCTTTGAGCTGGTTAATGTTGTTATTTCTTTTTCCTTTTCCATACAGTCCCCCAGATGCATACCAGTTGAGTTTCTTGGGTGTACTGATTTTAAATTTTATTATTATAAACATTAGCAACATGCATAGGTAATAAAAAAAAACAACAACAAAGCAGCACAAACATCTACAGCCATTTGGTAGAAAAGATTAGAGAGCCACATATTTAATATGGCAATCAAAATAAAATAATACAAACTCCACTTTTTTTCCTTAGAAGAATTGGACAAAATTAGTTTTTTTTTTTCCTCCCCGAAATGTTGTTTTCTCTTCAAATTATGGTGAAATCAAATGAATCTTGGTCTTTCAATGACATGGAAATTTGGGAGAGAAAGACAACATTACAAATAAATTTTGGAACATTTCAATCTCATGACACAATAAATATTTCAGGTGCAATTTGTTTTACAATGTAATAGTGCATTCATTTATTTGAATGTTATTTCCTATCAGGTGATTTTTCATTGCTGGAAAGGGTGTTATATTATTTTACACTATCATGATTGATGTGTCAGAAAATAATGTGAAAGTAATGAAAGTTCTGTAAGGATGAGAAATAAAGGAAATGAAAATAACACAGCAAAACGAATTTTCAGCATTTCATGAAACCAAGTTAAAAAAAAAAACAAAAACAAAACAACAAATACAACCACCACAAACTCTTTCTATTTCATTTTTAAAATTCAAAGTCAACATGAATTTATACACCCAAAGTTTTTCCAGAACCATTTCATTTTCCTATTAAAAAAGGGATGTGACAGAACTTTCCCTGCTCTCAAGGTGAGCACAGAAACCTTACTCATTTCTCTTCAGCTAAAGGTTAGAAGGCATGGAGAGATGCCAGTGCTGGTGACATGGTGAACTCTGCAAATTGAGGGATGTCCTGCAAGCCTTCTATCAGCTAATAGATCACTTTCTGTTTACTTCCACAATCATTTTTAGCAGGGGGAGAAAAAGCTCTTTCCAGTGTCTGAAAGTTCTTTTCCAGTTCTTTTTCAGGTTGGTTCCCCCCGCATTTTTCTGTTAAGGGAGAATATTTATTATAAGCATCCAGCTTGTAGTACAAAAACAATGTAACATCTTCAGAGACAAGCATGGCCAGTTTAAATTGACATGCCCACACCCAGTCACCCAGTAAGCATGCAATTTTGTGCATTCATAGATATTTTGACCTATCGTTACTGGGATACTTAGTCAGTTGGATTATCTCATATGCCAGAGTTCAGGTGACCACATAAATAACCTCTAGGAGACTAAGCAATGTGGCTGTAATTGAGACAGAAAAACAGTACTGAATCTCCTTGGTTTCTGGAAAGACTGGCATGAGACCAGAGCTTCTTTTTTTTAGTATAGAGTTTGTGCTGCGATCTACTGAGTAAAATGCTGCATTTCATATAAACCCTTTGTGTAGTTGCTGACAACACTTGTCTAAATGGAGTTACTTGTCTACATGTGGAAGATATTTATATCTCTTTGGGCATGACTAGCACACCAGGCTAACAAAGAGACCATTGTGGGACATACTGAGGGAGGTTTTCATGGCACCCATTCTTAACGCTGTCCTTGAAGATTAACAATAAGAAAAAGAAATTGGATGTAGATGCCAAATTCACAAAATGCGGACATCAATCAGAATGGGTGTTTCTCTGATTCACTTGCTGTGGATTGCTGCTGATTTATAATAATACAGCATGTTCCCCAAGCAAGGACATGGTGTCAAAGCAGTAATTATGAAGTATTTGTTGCGTGCTGAATTTGAAAATTACCTGGCTCTTCCACTGGCCTCATTTTCTGTTTTGGGATCAGTGCTTCAGTTACAATCAGCTGATGTCACCCTTTTGAACAAATGTACCTGGATAAAGAATGAGGCTGTCCGCAGTTAACAAGCAGCTGCAGAATACCTGAATTTCTGCAGCCGTGGAAAATGACTGCCCGTTGGAAAGGAAGTGACTCAGCAGTGCCAACATGCCAGAGAGGGAAAAAATAGCGAAAGGAAAATGTTGAACGAATGACCACTTTTATGCTTATTCAAATTCCTGCAGCCATCCTTCTAACCTGGAACAGCTGAATTCATTCCTCGGTATAAGGACTGTGTGATGCAGTTACATACAGATAACAACATTAGTTCTTTTTTGACTTACAGTTGTGAAAGAGGTATGAAAATGGAAAACTATCTGATTAGCCTGCACTTACAAAAGACAGCTTCAAATTCTCATAATATCTTCCACTCATGGCTTTTCCTTGAGTCATAGCCCAAGTTACTAATGCTGTATTTTAAATCTTAGAAGAAATGTAATGCTTTGTGCAGTGCTGCATAAATGAAGGACAGAAATGGAACAGATGATCCTTTCATTCTTTAATTTCTGAAAAACTAAAAGTTGCCCTGAACAGCTACGTTGAAATATTTTTGCTATGAAGATATAAGGAAAACAGGATCTGAGCTTTTTAACTCATTATTTTCTGAAAAAATGTAATGAATGCCATCTATACCTGTAAAATTTGCAATTTTCATACTTTTTGTGTGTGTGTGTGAAGAAAAAGTAATTTTGAACCTTAATTACGATGACAACTTCTTAGAAAGTCAGCTATATTTGAAACCTAGTGTTAGACTACACAGGGTAAAAATTTGGAGTTCACTGCTTGACCATCAGATGCAGAAGATACGTGCCAACTAAGGTGCTTTGAGAATGAAATTATTCTTTTAAATGAAATAGATCTTTTAAATAAACCAAGGGTGGTCTTTCTGTTTTCCATTTGCATATTTGAAAAGTGCTGAATTAGAGGAAAAGAAAGGTTACAGTCTTTTCATAAATAATTTAAAAGAATAAAAGAAGAATAGAACTAATAATTACACTGAAATGTTTCAGGTTTTTATTCAGCTAGCACAATGGGTAATAAGAGGAGATGATGTTCCAGTCGTTACAATTCTTTAGCTTGTATTGATGTAGGATGAAAAGAACAAAAGATAATTAATGGTTTATGAAGAGAACACTCTTAGTGGCAAGCTGATGTCTCAGCATCCATCTTCACATTGATCAATATTAGAATCTATAGCCTCACTGGTTGTTTTATGATGCCTTTAAGAAAAAGAATACAGAATTATCAAGATCATAAAAAAATGTATTTCATTCTTTTGTGACTATAGCCTCGTTATTCTGCCTGAGAAAGGACACTGTGATTCCTCAGTGTCACAGCCCATTCTCAATAGGAAGGCATTTGTGTTATTTTTCAACTTGTGGTCTGTGCAGTTCGCCTCAAGAGAAGAGAACAGCCCTTCTCCAAGCCAGCTGGCCCACAAAACAAATGTTTTCCTGCCCTCTTGGCTGAGAACACGTGCTTCAGGCCTTCCCTGGGCACATGCAGCCCACACAGTGTGGTGCCACACAGAGCTGCCAGATCATGACTAGCCAACCAACCAACCATCCATCCTGAGCTGGCATGATTAAAAGCAACTCTAGCCTCAAGCAGCTTGGACGTACTCATGCCCAGCAGTGCCCTTGCTAATGAGCTCTGCATCACTCATAAAGGTTGCAAGGGAGCACAGTCCAGCTATGTGGTTCAAACACCCGATCTGGTTGTGAACGTGTTGCAACTAGAAAGTCAAACACCTCACTCATAAGAAGGAAGCAGGAATGTATTGATATCATAGTTACTTCGCAAAGATTAACATAAATAAGACAGAAGCTTAGCAAGGTTTGAGATGGTGGGGTAGACTTGATTATTTACTGCATAGAGGATAGGGTTAAACACTCATTCAGGAGACTCTCTCATTGAGTCCTGAGGTTCAGGGTGGACCCCGTTGCTTTCTAAACTCCTTGAACCACAGAAGCATGGAATCCACTCCTGGATTTGGTCAGTGATTTATGTCTGAGAGTTTATATAAGCACAATCAATTTAAGATATAATATAGTAAAACTAACAAAGCTTAAAACTATTCATCACTTACCAAGGATCTCTATCAGCAAGGTATCTTGTCATCAAGGTGTAAGGGATCTCTGCGGAGATGCAACCATGAAGGGCATTCCTACTCAAGGGGAGATCAAGAGGCTCTTGGGCTGCTCTATGCTATGAGTGTGCTCAGGTTAACAGTGTTATGAGGTAAGGTGACTGACTCATAGTATTCAGCAATCAGTATTTAGTACCAGTTCTTTCAGCACCCAGTTTGAGAAGCTAATGTGGTCATTATCTGTCTTGGCAATACCTTGATTTTTATCAGTCCTGAGCAAGGTTTTTGGCTTCCTTTCTTTGAGCTTGGAAAACCTCCAAACCTTCCCTGCTCTAGGACACCTGAAAGGTCCTGGGTACTCTATGGTTGTTGCCACATAACACCACTTGCATCCATGTCTAGGATCCAGACTTCATAGATGTGAAATTACAAGGTGAAAGAAGGCAATTTCAGGTATTTTTAGAGTCTCTGAAAACAATAATTAAACAAACAAAGAACAAAACCAAAACCAACCTTTCCTGTTCAAGTCCAAAGTAGCTGTACACATTACAAAAGGAAGGCACGTGAGGATGCGCCGTTCTACTGGAAGTTGCATGGAATGACTGCAAATCTGGATTTTACCAGTGCCTAGAAAATCTCTTTCTAACTGTGGAAAAGAAAGTATTTTCATCTAAACCCAAAGACAGAGCTAGCAAAAATCTTAATTTTACACACTTTTTTCTGCCTCTTCATATTCTCACTAGAAAAATACTGGCTCACTCCTATGCGTTAATGACAAGTATATTGGATATTCATATTGGGTGTCAAATGATGTAAGTTTATTTATTTGTAATGATTGGTAGCTTTTGAGACAGAATTTTACATAGCACAGGTACCTGAAGTCCTTGGGGAAGGAAGCTTTCTGCATTCTGCTGTCTGGCTGTAACCATAAGGTCTTTCACTAGAGACAAAGCGGGTCCCACAGATAAGATACACTTTAATTTACTTAGTCTCTGAGATTAAATCATCAACACAGAATACTAAATCAGCATCAACTGCAAAGGGATGCTCTTGTTAAGACCAGACCCTTGCCACTGCCAGCTCAATCTCAAGCTTAACATATTTCTTTCTGAAGTGTTCCATTCCTTTTGCTTGTAAATTCAGGCTACTTACTTCTAAGCCTTCCAGTCTAGTAAATTCTTGCTGTGTTTCTCAGACACTTTGTACAAAGTGTGTTAAGAAATCAATAAACATAATAAAATAGAGCCTAAATGGCCTCCAGATAGCTACCTAACACTGTGACACCTGAATTGCTTTGTTGCACACAAAAGACATCTTGCAGAAAGAAACTGATTTCACACAGAAAGGACAGAGATTCGCCCCTGTACTACTGGATCCAGAGGAAAATGTCTTCATGTCTAAGAGCCAAGTCCTAACACACTTGAACCTCAGCTTAAAGCTAACAAAGATGTCCCATCAGTTTGATCCTAGGGACAGTTGCTGCCTCTGCAGGGCCAGCAGCTTTCCCTCTTGACCTTGGAATTTTAGCGTTCAGCTGTCCTTGCAAAAGTGGCCTGGGTAAGAAGCAAATAAAATGTGAGATGGGAATTTAATGATTTGCTTTATTGTTGCCTGAAGAACTTACAGACAAATTGAATTGTCTCTACGTCTATGGGGAGGGGGAAAGGCATCTCAGATTGAAAAAGATGGAAAAATTAACCTGCCTGCATTTTGTTTTCTTTTTTAGATACCTCCATCATCTACCCTCCTAGATGTGAAACACAAATTTCACAAAGCCTGTAAGTACTGTGGCCAGCCGGCTGGAGGCATGGTTAGAGGCCTTTAAGTTTGGAGAAGCAGTCAAATTTATTTTTCATGAAATCTCACACTAAAGCTGAGGCTGGCTTGACAGCTCCAGTGCTAAATTAGAGCAGCATTTGGAGATTCTACTGTAGCTATCACAGACATGAAAGGCTGGAAGGAGAGGACTACATTATTTAACACCACTAGCTCAAGGGGGACAATATTTTTCTATCCCATTTCTAACATTACAGTGCCAATTCAAGATCTCAGCTGCATTTGCTCTCCCAGGGTTGTATTTGATAAGCTTAGATGACATTAGTCTGCTTCAAGCTGGTTGTAAATAGACCACGTGGACTGAACAGCTACTGTAGCAGGGAGCAGAAGCACCTTGTGATTGAATGACTTTTCTGGGATCATGGAGGCAAGGTGGCAAAGTTCTCAATTAACTCAATGCTGTCCAGTTCCTTAATGGTCTGGGCAAACTCCCATTTTTCTAGCCTCACTTTCTTGTTTTTGTGTCCGTGGGTAAAGAAAAAAATAGCACAGGAATGTACAATTTTGGCACATACAGACTGTAGATATGGACCTTGTTCGTGAGATGAAATGAGCAGCTACATTCAAAGATGCCCTTTTCTTGCTTTCAGGGAACAGTTTTTTTTGGATGCTTTCTTTCTACCACCTTCTAGTCATACACATCCAGCTCACAGTAGAGGCAATGGAAGGAAAGGTGAGAGAAACAGCAAAGCAGGGTGCCAAAGCTTGATGGCATTTCCCTTCATTCTTTATGAATTGCTGGGTTAGTATTTTAGAGAGGCCAAATATACCTGAAAGCTACCAGGTGTAAATGTACGTATGGTGGGCCTTGAATTCTGCATACTGCATGTGTTTGTAGAGAGCTCAATTTTGATGGCTTGCTCCTAGAACAGGAGCACATTTCTCCTTCTCTGCCTGTGGAAAGTAGCATGCTCCTTGCGATGAGGATTCATAGCCTTGAATGTCACTCACATGGGATAAGCAGGTCTGTACAATGCCTGCTAACTTGAACTAAGCTATTAAATTGATAAGAAAAAGATGCAAAAGAATTGAGGGTTGGAAATAAAGGGCAAACAAACACAGGCTAGAAATGAAGCACCAAAGGAGTGCATAAGATTTAATGTTTCAATAAAAATATGTCCTCCCCTCACTTTGTGAAATGGCGTGCTTTTCTGCTGATACTCTCTTAAATCAATTGAAACTGGGTTTATATTGATTCAGCTTAAATCAGTTGATCACTGGCACAGAGACTTATCCCAGTTTAACTATAATGAAGTTTTTAATGATTTTGGGGTAAAATGGTACAAGTTCGCATATAAGCCATCCTAATGGCATCTGTTTTCATACACAGAGGTACCTTACCTCTCAAATGCTTCCAGTGATGTAAGTGGAGCTGTATATAAGGAAAGCAAGAAACAGTACAACAAGGAATGAACTGAATCTCTATCAGTGTGGCCCTTTACAGCACAGGGAAGGGCTGACAAGTACCTTCAATGCTTTTTCAGTCCTCAATTTCTAAGTTCAATTCCCACTGTTCTCACAGTACACTGTGTCACAGTGTCCTGTGTCCTTTCTTCCCATTCCGGCTCACTGCTTTGATCTCTCTTTTCCAGCTCAGCCTGTGTGTTATTGTTTCATGAGGTTACCCCCTTCTCCTTTTCCACTGGCAAAGGACAAACCTTCCCTTTTTTCCTCTGTGTAGTTTGGGGGATGACAGCTTACAGAATACAGTTCTTTTAGGCAAGAGCCACGAAGCAGCTGAAGCTGATCTGTGGATGCCTTTGGTTAGTGTCTATTTGTACTAGCTCATGCATTCATTTCTGTCATTTCATGTGTGCCAGACTCACATCTTCCCTATAATCTTTGCTAAAACACTCCTACACGGACACCCTTACAGTCTCCCTGTCTTTGTGCACTATCCTTTGATCACCCATGCAATTAAGCTTTCTCCTCAGCTGGTGTCTTGTCAGCCCTTCAGTGAGAGAGAGGAACCCCTGTGCAGCAATTTCACAAGCATCGTCTCTGTCACTGATCAGGTTTTGCTGCCTGAGTGAAGAACAGAGGAGAAAGACTGAATTACGAATTGCAGCAGGGGACTGTTAATCATTAAATAAAAGAAACGGAATGCAAGTGACACATAACATGCTACTGCTCAGCAGTTTCTAAGTCAGTCAAATATTAGTTTGCATCTGTATTTATATGAAAAAATACTCAAATCCAGGAACGTTATTATTCCTCAGGTCTCATTTCAGTAAAACTCCAACAATCCCAGCCAAAGCTAACACTGTTTTCTGTGGCACTGAGTTCAGCAGGGCAATCCCAGTTATATCACTGGAGATTCAGGGATCTATAAGCATTTAGTGGAGGTAACTATCTAAGACATACAGCCCTTCCCATGGGAATTCAAAGGCTTTCTTCAGACTGAAAAGTGCAATTTCGGATCAGCCCCTGGACACTCTAACCACCATAGCAGAGATGCACAGCACTGTGGTCAGCAGAGAACCACAGTATCCTGCTGCAGCTTTCCGGCCATCAGTTTCTGTGGCAGGTGGCAGATCCAGACTGCCATTCTTGCAGACTAAACTTTGCAAAGCTTTTGTCCTTGGCAATAAATCTTCACCTTCAGTTTATTTTTGTCTTTTCAAAATGTATTGGACCAGTGGGGGAGGATATCTTATGGATAGAAAATGGAGAAATGTAGTAATAATAACGCTAATCCAAGTGTCGAGTAACTAAAATAAAATACATCTAGAACAAGTAGTGTAATGGAATCAGTGATCATTCAGTATTTTCAGGGTTACTGCACAGAAGTTTCTGGTAAGGTTCTTGAAAGTGAAGGAAGAACAGAAAGGAGGGGGGAAATAAGATCGCTGCAACACCATCACAAAATCTTGGACACATTGTTCTGCACAGGGAGGTAGCACAACTGTAACTAAACTTTGAAGTCAGCAGAATGAGCTTAGGGAGATCAGAAACTGCCCTCCAGGCAGAAGCAGCAGGCAAGTGAGGTAGGGCAGATAGCAAGAAGCCTGACGATGGACAGAAGGAAAAAGAAAAGCAGAAGCAAGGGTTGAAAACATCACATGGAGAATATCCCAGCGTGCAGAGGAGTTGGAAGTATTCAAGAAATAAGGAACACTGTAAGCTGCTAGCTGTCCCAATAAGATGCTAACTTCTAATCACTGAGATCCAAATCTGCAGGCTACCCTTTCTAAGCTAGCAAAACTTTTTACATAAAGTATGTTAAATAAGGAGCATTAGCAAAAGGGAATCAGTACAAAAGAAATTGTCAGTAGGTGGCACTCAAGAATAAACAGCATAATTTCTGGACATTATGAAACTTCAGTGGTGTGCTGTACAATCTTATGACTGCTTCTTAGCAGATGTTTCTATAGAAATCCTGAGAGCTACGTCCCCTGGAAAACCACCAAAATATTTTTTGTTGCTTTCCTCTGGAGAGAGGACAAGGAGAGAAACAACGCAACTCCTACTTCATGCTGGGAGCCTACCTCTCCCCTTTAGTCTCCTCCATGTGAGCTGAATGCATCCTAACACATTGCTATGCATCTGCCAGATTTCAACTACTGCTCTCATCCTGCGCAGTGTCCTGCATAGTATCATAGACTCACATCATGTTGGATGTCAGGAGGAAATTCTTCACAGAGAGAGTGGTGAGGTACTAGAACAGGCTGCCCAGAGACGTTGTGGATGTCCCATCCCTGGAGGTGTTCAAGGCCCTGGGCAGCCTGGTCTGGTATTAAATGGGGAGGTTGGTGGCCCTGCCTGTGGCAGGGGGGTTGGAGATTCATGATCCTTGAGGCCCCTTCCAACTCTGGCCATTCTGTGATTCTGTGAAAAGGACCTGTAAGGAACATTGAGCCCAACACCTGTCTTCTCACAGGACCACCCCAAAATCAGACCATTTAACTAAGAGCATTGTCCAAATGTTTCCTGAACTCTCTATGTCTTCTATATTTTTAATGATATCCAAGAACTCATAGCATGATTTCAAGTGAAAAGGCTTAAGGAAAAATTCTCCATTTTGTGTGAGCTGTGCAAAAATGCAAGAGCTGGATGCAGTACTGCTGCTGGAAAGGATGGCTGTTCTTTCTGCATCACATAATTTCCCCCTAGAGGCTGTCCGCGGCATTAAACTGCAGGGCTCAAAGAGGTGGGGAAGGATTCTGTGGGGATTAGTCATTAAGAGCAGTAGCAGCAAGAACAGTGACTGCTAAGCCACTGCATTGCCTACAGGCTCTGTACAGTCAGGACTGCTTGATAACAGTCTTGCTGAGAACCTGCAGTTCCTCTGATTTCTCCACACTGTTTGTTACAGCTGGATTCTCAGGTTGAAGCAAGTTAATGAAATCTGTCAATTTTAATGCCTGGAGAGACTCACGTGCCCAGTGAATACACATGCTGGGGACTTGGAGAAGCTGAATTACACTATTTATGGCTCTCCCAAGCTGACTTCCTACTCCTGGCCTGTCAATCAACCATGAGCCCTTCATGTATTTCACCAACTGAAGAGACCAGAATAAATCATATCTAGGACACAGCACCCTCAATAGGGATCCTTCTCCTGATCTGTACTAGGACATCAGGCTTTGAAAAAGTCAATGTACTGGAAACAGGGCCATGATCTGGTACTGGCCTGAGTTGCCTTGGGCCAGAAGCACTCTCCGGGTAGGAAGGGAGCTGCAAAATAGAGTTTTTAACAAATCTCAATGTCATTCCTCCCCATTTTTATCCCACACAGTTCATACTACCCCAGAAACACAGCTCAAATCCATAGATGAATGAATTCTCAATATTCTCCTGGGCAGGTTGTCTTGCTGCAAAGTTCACAGGCCCATCTGCATCCCCAGCACAGATTCACAGGATGCACAGGGTTGGCAGTCACATTCACTGATTGTTTTCAATAATTTTTCCTCTCGGCATTTATAACTCAACTGGAAATTAA